TAGAAAAAATATAAAAAAAAAAGAAATAACAGCAAATTAATTGATAGTAGGGTGAATCGGTGATCATGGGCCGAGCTAGTTAGCACATGGGCATAGCCTGGGACTGAAATGTAACTTCAGTCTTGGCCTTACACGGGCCCAAGCTGGGCCAGCTTTTGGGCCTATAACTCTAAAAATAAGATATCAAATATAGTATTTATTATATTATATTTAATATAATTAAATATTATATATAATAGTCACCCAAGCCTTGAAGTTTTCTGGATGGACTGGACTGGGCAAGGATTGAAATAACCACCGCTAATTGATGGGTTAAATAAAGTAAGACCACCCCAAACTACAAGGGGTAAGTAAATTTATAAGTAAACTTGAGGGAAGGTGTTAGTATTTGACTTATAACCACATCCCTAGGGGAGATATTAAGTACTTTTATTCTCAAGCCTCTTAGCTGGACCAGAAAGGTTAGGGGCCTAACCCTAGTTTGACTCAATTAGAGCCCAAAATTAACTGAAGCCAACATCCTAAACTATCATACTCTTACTTTTGGAAATCGAAATCTCCCTTAATTCAATTTTAAGGTATATTGAAGGACTTCCTCTGATAAGGCGGGGACAAACTGGGCTTACCTTTTAGCCCATCCAATTTCCATACCTAATTACATGTTTATATTAAAATTTCTTCTGTATAAGAAATCTACTACTTACGCCATGTTATCTCTTGTTCTTCAGACCAAAAAACAATGTATGACCATTAGTTCTGATCAAGCCTGCCAGACTGGCTAAGCTCATGAGCCTACTAGCCCTAAGTTGGGTTAGGGTTCAGGTTAGTTGGGCTCGGCCTTGTCATCAAGCTGAGGGCCTAGCTCGGACAAGTTGCACTCTAGCTAAATCTGCATTGTACTTTTTAACTTAATGAGAGAGAGTCATAATTGATGACTTGCTTTACCTTGGTTAAATTCTACTTAGTGAAATTATATTCAGTCCAGCTTAATGATATTTACATGGTTTCAACTGTTTTTTCTTATTCCTAATTTGACTGATGAAGTTTCAATGTCAATTATTTTAGAAAAGTACGACTGAGTAATTCTGGGTATAGGGTTCTAATTAATGAACTGAGAGAACACAGCCCGTTATTAAATTTGGCTGGTCTCAGTTAAGCTTGAGCTCATTTTTCAGGTTATGATCTTAATCCAATCCCAGTATATATATTCAAGATATCATTTAGCTTGGATGCTCCAGCTTGGAACTTTTAGATACTATGTTACATACTTTATATAACAATTTATTATTATTTTTCTTCTTTTAATTAATGTTACTTGTAGGGTTGAGACTGCATCCAGTATGTGTATATGTGCTTGAATGGGTAATAATAAAATTGAATTGATAAGTTGAGGCCAAGGTTAGCATATGCTAGGCAAGTGGAGCTTAAGCTCACCACTTTAGGCTTGTCATGACCCAGAATGGAGCTTTTCAGAGCTTGAGTATCTAATAATTTTTGAGCCCAGTAGACTTTGAAAAGCTCAGCTTATTTAATACCGTAAGCTTTGGACAATTTTGTTCTATTACGTACAATATGGCTACATTGTAGTTTTCTTAAAAATGTTTTTGAAACTAAATTATAATTTTGTTAGAGCTGTACAGAACAAGGATATGATACATATGGACAATATGTAATTCTCTGGGCATACTGATCAATAAGAAAGAAAAAGAGAAGCTTTTATAATTTTCATAGCTCAAAGCTTATTATGCAATGTACAAGATCAATTAACTAAGAAGATTAGTAGGGTAAAAATATAACTAAAAATATGGGGATAAGAAGAAGAAGACCATAAACATGCATTGAGTATACATATATATATATCTATGATCATCACCTTCATCACAATACATACTCCAATCAAAAGATTAAATAATGCCCAAGGAGTGATCAAATAGCAAACTCTAGCAGTAAATGTAGCAAGTATATACCTATCTAATATTCAAATAAAATAAAAAGGCATTCCATTCATCTACATGATATAATTAAACCATGAATTAAGTTTGCAAATTTCTTCTTCCCCAATCACACCAAAATTAAATAAAAATAGTTTCAATGAAAATTTCCCTATCTTTTCTTGTGTGGTTGCATAACAAGTTATATAGAAGAGAGTTCTTATATTATGAACTACATAGATTGATAGCTTCCACTAATTGGGGATATAATTAAAGAGGTGAGGATGCTGATGAGGCCCTATTATCCATGATTAGACAACACATAAGGGGATTTGTAATGTATCTGGAGAACTCATGAAGCATAGACTTAAGGAAATCACATATAAGGAACCTTAGGTTGTGGAAAAAAAACATGTCTCCCCCCTAAACCCTTATGTGACAAAGTTCAACTAGTGTCCAGGACAAATGACATAAGGAAGACCACTCTTCCCTGCACATCTTTGAATTAAAAATTTTGGACTGAAGCAGGATAGCAGCTCATCTTGTTACTTAGGAAAGAGACCAATAGCCAATATACAGTACTGAATATATATGAAGCTTCTTCCTTGAATTGGTTACTTAATTAAAATATATAACCTATAAAATCATATTTAGGAGTGACTACTGCGTTCAAGTTTTTCTAACAAGAAATATATGACCAACACACATGAATCTCTTGAAGGCAAACTACCTAGACAATAACCCATAACCAGACTATCATTCATATTAACAAACTTGTGTGCCTATATCTATCTATCTATCTATCTATCTATCTATACACATGCACACACATATCAAATTATAAAATAGTTCCATTAATCTTCAAATTCTGACCTATATGGATCTTCTTTTGATTCTTGTCTTGCATCTCCGATTGGACCACTTGCATTTTATATTAGTGGAATCACAATAGTTATTTTAGGGTAAGCACTCCTCATGCCATAGACAATGTAAGAATGAGATGAACACTGGCATAATTTTATAATTCGAAGTGCTTGACAAGTAACCTAGCTAACAAACTTGGAATGGTTTGTTATTTCAGTCTTCCATTGTTTAGAGAGACTTATTTTAGCATGCTTTACAACTGCTTCTCTGTGAATGTCGACAAGATCAAGGTCGTCATAAAATAATTATCATCAAAATGACTTGTCATAGAAGACGTTAGTCACGCTCCGTGCTGTAAAATCTTTTACGCAATCTGAAAATGTTAATTATTTGAACAACTTGTCAATTGGCGAACACAAAAGCTTTAATTTATTGCAAATTATGGTGTACAATGGAAAGAACAGATTCTGTTAATTTGTTTTTTATTTTCTCACAATTTTATCAAACAATTTTGTGAAGATCATTTTCTATGTAGTTATAACACAATGAAAGTCACAATGAAGAAGATCTAATATATATTTTCTCTATAACTAAATAAGGGTGTCAAGATTTACAAACTGGCTGGCCATATTGTGTGCCGAGTGGTGGTTTGATCATAGTTTTCGTGATGCACCCATCAACAGTCTCCATCAATCAACCCTAATCAAATACTTATGGACCAATTTTCTGTATTAAAATCCTAATAATTTTAACTAACATAAGTCTAACATCAGATAAAAGATAATGGAGAATTAGTTTTCACAGCATAATGGGGTTAAGAGGTTAGGTAGCTTTGAGTAAACAGGTAGACATGATCAAGACTAATTTAAAATTTCATATTTGAAGTGTTTGATAAGTAATCAACAGATTAGGACGGCTGGCTAGTTTAGTCATTGATACACTTCCCTGGAATCTTGTTGCTTACTAGAGAGTGTTCTAATCCATGAAATCTTCCCAAGATCATGACTGGTGAGAAACCCATCAAAGGATACCACTAAAAGAAAAAAGGTGAGTTATATATAATAATACCCTTTTATAATTCACTAATATGTGTAACCAAGAACTGTCCTTGTCATGTATAAAAACCCATACTTAAATACACATTTATACATAAATCATCCAAATTAAGCATCAATCATTAATCATTCAGTCACAAAGCATCAACACATAGACCCTTGCTTAGGGCATCACCTCTACCCCCTTCCTATTGCACAAAACCTGAAATGGGGCTAAGGGAAAACTCCAAGGTCAAGAGGGATATACATATATATATATACATGCTGATAACTAAGAAAACTTCTTCCAATGAGAAAGGAATGAGTTGATGCCTCACATTAAACCTCATTTTTCCTAATGTTATTTTAATCAATTAGGGTTTTATACCTACATACAGTGTTAAGTTCAAGACCAATGCTACAAACCCATTAAAGAACAAACATGGATATATATGCAGTTATACATAAATTGATAGTTGATACAATCACATCACCAACGGCCCATAAATTTTTGGTTAAACTATAGAGAGACTCATCCTCACTTTGTTCTACTAGAACCAGCTAGCCTTTCCACTTTGAGATCAATAATAAGATATAAGACACATCAAGTGATTGCAAATATTTGCAACAACTGACACTTAAAAAAATGCCTTAGGTCATAGTAATAACACTTGTAAATGAAGCTGACATATATAATATTGCTGTAAGGTAGACACATTATAAGAAGCACAGACTTGTGGATGGCCTACTCACCACATCCTCCACATATCCAGCTCACAATAGTTTAAAGTCATAACTACCAACATCTCATGCTATTATCCAAAAGCTTTTGATTTTATTGTTGAAGAAAACTATGGAAAAAAGATTTGCACAAGGCAATATTAATTATTCTGGTTAACAAAGCTGAAAGAAAAAAGAAAAAGATATGCTAGTCTAAATTAATAAACCCAGAACAAGAAATTTAAAGCTTTAATTGATTGGAAGGTTGGAATTTGGAATCTTGAACTTATTATAAACGACCCAGTTGTATTGTATATACATACGTGCATAGGTTGATCCATATATATATATATATATACATACGTGCATAGGTATATATATATATATATATATATGCGCATTATTGATGTGTATGACATATATTATTAACTTTTATAAATTTCCTTGGTAGGTCCCACACTTGATGAAATGGTCTCTGTAGGCACTCTCAGCAGGCTTGCTGATAAGAGAGCAGAAGGAGTCAGCTATGCCGGCGGGAAGGGATTCACATGAGGTCTGCTAGCAATACCAAGAAACAGTTAACCTACTATTCCTTCTCAGTTTTGAAACCTGGGTCTCCTCTTCCAAGGAGAGAGATGTCAACATGGCTGTTGAAGCACTGGAGCCAAATTGTCAATAGCAACATATATATCTCCTTTCTCTGTTGTTTAATTTCTAAGCTGAAATTAAAACAAAATTATCAGAAAGTTGAATTAGGAAACCTTTACAATTAAACTTAAATTACCTTTATTTATTTCTAGGGAAGTTCAACTTTTATCTCTCTCTTTTGCATGTAATAATGATAAATTAATGAAATCTTGTATGAAAATGTCTGGCTTCAAGAATTATGTTTTCTGAAACTAAACTATTCTAATACCTTGACCAGAAGACAAGTTAGTAGTGAAAACGGTTGAGTTTCTAGAAGCCACACAAAAACTAATTATAGAAAGAAAAAGATAAAATTAAACAATTTCCCATGCATCTTGACTACGACTCAATGCATTTAAATTCCAAACCAGTGATTTTGCCAAGAAATAATAATGAGAATGTATTAAAAAAATAAACAAAACCAAACCCATCAAAAGACATAGTCTGAAATGTGAAATCTATTTAGTTCTGTGCTGGCCACTTTGAAGCAAGCATCTGTAGAAGTGGAAATCTACCATGTATCTTGTAAGGTGTGATGTAGCAAAACCGAGGGTGGTGTTCATTCAGTGAAGGATCCTTTAGATAATTCATGTACTTGGTGTCTTTCTCTATATTGAAACCCTTGCATACTATCTGTTGCACTTCATGAGTTTCTTCTTCCTAATATAATAGCCGTTGTTTTTTATTTTGCTTTTGAATTTTAAATATGAATATAAAGGTGTAAAAATCACTTTATCTTCATTTTTGGGTATTTTGGGATTAGGTTTAAACTAAAACTTGCCACATGGAAATTAACTGATGACTGATGATCAATGAAATGCATATATAAGCAATTTTCATGTATCCAGAATTGTGTGGAAAGAGGATAACAAACATATATATATATATGAAACAACAGCATGGAAACCCTAATCTATATGAGTATACTAAAGTTACCAAATCATAGAGAAACACTAGAATTTAATTCCCAAGAACCAATGAGGAAATGACACAATAAACCAATAAGATGAAGACATTTATTATTACAATGTGGACTAAACACCTTAGAAACCACTGCCTTAATTAACCAAATGAATAAACACAATTCAAGAAGGAAAAGACATCAAATTGAAATGACATGTTCTTCTCTTCTATATAGATATATATCACCGTACTGCAACTCGTTTGAAAAAACATGCCGTCTCTTTCATACACACGCAGCCATGCATATATATCATTTTCTATCCAGAATTTCTATCTGTTTTATAAAATTAAAAGATGTAATATTTATTTTATATTACTAAAATAAAAATTTAACAAACCATACCTAGCTAGTCATATATCACTGAACGGTCCAACCGCCTGGCTATCACTTGAATAGAAAATTAAAAAATGTAAACTATGCTGATCAAAACATATAAAAAGATAGATAAGCTAAACAGAAATAAATATTATCAGTGTTTTCAAAACCAGACCGGATCAAAAAAATCAGGAATTGATAACCTGACCGGTTCATAGGAATGGCAACAGGGCGGGTTTGGGGCGGGGCATCCCCTCCCCGTCCCCGCCCCATAGTCAAGATATTTTGCCCCGTCCCCGGTGGTAGGGTGGGGCATCCACTCCCCATCGGGAACAAGGAATCTCTGAATTTTTCCTGTTCCAAGGCAACTACTTAAAAATTGTCTATTTTATGGATAATTTACACATAAGATATAGGAATTTGGGGGTATTTTAGGAATTGAGTTATAATACTTTAGGGGTAATTCAAAAATAGAATTATGGGATCTTAGGATTTTAAGAATTTAGAGAAAACTTAGAGATATTTTAAATATCAATATTAAACCTAAAGATATGTTACTAATTTACCTTCAGGTTTAGGGCGGGATCTGGGAATTATATACAAAATCCGTCCCCGATTTGGGAAAAAAAATATTTTCCCCATCCGTACCTTGTTCTTATTTAGGGTTGGGGAAAACCCACTCTATTCGAGCGGGGCGGGGCCCCAGTTTTATAGGAAAAATTGCCATCCCTATTGGTTCCGTTTCACCCCAAAACCGCTTTTTGGTCAAAACCATTGGTTTGATCAACAAACCGTTGATCCGAGTGATCGAACTATCAGACCATTAACCTGTACAAACGGTTTTTTTTATTAGAACGAGCTGCCCATTCGGACTGTTTGACCCTAGAATCTGTCCTTGAACGGTTCCCTATCCGATACGGTCCAGACCGGGTCTCACAAGATTTGCCCTACCCCTACCCCACCAAAGTTAGAACCGAAAAGAAGTAGCTTCAATTTTATCCACGTGCATGGCACGTGCTAATAGATGGTGGCATCTAGAAAAGAAAAACCATGCACGTGATATATAAATCCATTCGCACCTGAATATTTAAATATATATTGCAATTTGACTTATTCATGTCCTTTTTACTTTTACCTCTCCCACACACAAATCACAACGGCTGAATGACACGATATTGAAAGCATGAAACCCTAATTTTTACCAGGTTTTCTCTATTCTAAAAAGTAAAATCCAATCCGCCAAACGGCCAAAGCAAGCAACAAATAGGAAAGCAAAACCTGCTAACGGTTAGGTGGCGGGAAGCTATTCACCTTAAAACAATGTCTATTTTATTAGTTGGTTTGTACATCGGGGAACCCCGTTCCTCCTTCTGTGACCGTCTTGCCTCCGGGAGGGTCAAAGTAGGGCCTACGTCAGCCGGGCCCCACTTGATTCTTGAGGTCGGATGACGTGGACCCTGCCCATTGGCCGTCCACCTGCTTCCCTTGTAGCGTGGGATATGGGTCCCACCATCACGTGTCGTGTTTGCTGGCCCCGCGGTGTTTGGTCTGAATCTAAGCGAGAGAGGCTCCTGCGATGGGATTACGTGAAGTCGTGAACCAGTCAGACATGGCGTTCCTGCGCGATTTTGTCTTATTTACGTGCTTGGACTACCGTAAATGGACATGGCATCTTTGTATAATTACGGAAATGTACAGCCCTTTCAATTCAAATTATGCTATGCTTCATCAATCATTCTCCCATAATGACTAATTCACCCTTCAATTTCATTACTGAACAGTCAGGGTATTATTCATAGACGTTTTGTATGATATAATCCTTATCATTGGCCAAAGATTCACCCTTAATTAACTTGCCACCTGTCCAATAACAGCAGAAGACCCGCAGCCCACTGGATCCCACCATGCATGGAGATTAAATGGGCCAAGAAAGACTGAAATTATTGTGATCAATTACATCATCAGCTTTTGCTGCATGCATGTAGACAGGGAATTAATGCATTAGAACTCTTTAAGTATACATGCATGATATATCATCAGATGGCCAGAAGTCAGGTAGAAGGATTAAAGGGTTGTCTCAATTAATCCTACGCATCAGGATATACACGTGGCAAGTTAAAAACAGCCCAAACAACAACAACAGTTCTCGTGGGTCATACATACTCTTCTTTCACATATATTACACATTATAGGGTGGTGGGGAAGAGAGTAGGGTGCACCTAAGGTCTGTTAACCTTAAAATGGAGAGCTTGCAATAATTATATTATCCTTTAAATTTGGAGCCAAGTGACCCTCTCATCTAGCTACTGGATCCTTGTCTTGTGGGTCATACCCTACACACAGCTTAATTAATTTGGATGATCTTGGTCCAGGGCCAACCAGAGAGCGTGGTTCTTCAATTTCTTCCATTTTGAGCTCTCTACATAAATTAACCATGCATGAAATTTCCTGTTTTTTTCTTAAAGTAAAAGAAAAAACCAATTACTCTTTAGTTTTTGTCAAGTGACCCAAAATCTGTATATACTGTTGTTGCAAGCTTATTGCAGGACCCATATGAACGAAATTATATTATATATTCAATGAAGACTGATATAGAATTTCCTTAGATTTTTTTTTTCTTTTTTTGGGTTTTATAAGACTGCACAATTGAAAAAAAAGCATTTAAAATTAAAATACTGACTAATTATTAAAATAAGAAATTAATACGTACCAAGTGTTCCTGAGCTGGGGACAAAGTGGTAATGGGTTTCCATCAGACATCTATATAGATGTTTTCTAAGAGGAGTCGTTTTGGTCATTTGACAACACTAATCTGAGGATAGCTGTGGCCACCATAAGGGGTAGAATTGTAAATTCAAGACATGGAGGAGTTCTTTAATAGATTTCCTATTCATTGCCAGACGTGGCCAAAGTACCTTGTATGTCACGACCATTATAGTTGGTAAAAGCTTCACAAACACACTCTCCCCACACAGAAAAGCTTAAATATCAAACCTCCTTGCCTACCAATGAAGGGAAGCTTCATACTGTCATTCACTCATTCTCATCCCATCAATCTTGTTGTCGGATATTCGCCGGTAAAGTAGACGGGGACATCGGATTCTGACATGTACGTACTCATTGATGACTTCTGATCAGACCTCCACAGCAGGCCAAGGAGGTATCAGCTCTCTGGTGTCCCCGCAGTTCTCGAATTTGGTGATCGTTTTAATCGTGTGGAGATGTTTCTCGTTCCTTGAATTTACAGAAACGATCGAGATGATCTCTGCGGATCAGAGAGGCTGCTCCTGAGATTATCTGAGCAATTCAAGGGACGTTTGAAGCTGATTTTCATGTTTGTTTCCTCTCCAAATTGGTGATATATGGTTGTTTGTAGATTTCTAGCTTTTGTTTAGAGGTTGTATTTGAATTTTTGAAGGATATTTCTCAGTCTGCAGAAGATATTAGTACGACAAGATCGGAGAATAGAAGGGTTTCGACAGAAATTGAAGATCTTATTGCTAGCTAGCAGAGTGAATTAGACGGTTGGATATCGTAGATGTAACATGCATATATATGCTCGATATATCTCTATGCAGTAGTAGCCAGCTAGCTTGAGTAAGCTCAGTTCGTCGTGTGCTGAAGTGGGCTAGAATCTGAACATTACAAGTAGTGTTGGAAATTTCTGAATACCAAAAGTCAATAATATAGAGAAGCTGAAGCCTTTGTAAACAGAAAGCAAAAGAAGAGATGGATGGTGTAGCCAAGGAGGAGTCACTGCCTCCAGGGTTTAGGTTTCATCCTACCGACGAAGAACTCATCACTTACTATCTCACCCACAAGATATCTGATGCGAATTTCACTGGAAGAGCAATAACAGATGTTGATCTCAACAAGTGTGAACCATGGGAGCTCCCAGGTAGTAATCTCAAGCCTTTGATCCATTAATTGATGTTCTTATAATTATCTATTAGGCACCATGATCAAGTTTCTAACTTACGTGTTTCCGTATCTCAAATCATCATTTTATTAGCTAGCCAATATCTTTGAATTATTGTATTAAGTGTTTAATTAATCTCTTAAGTTTGCAATTAGATCGTAATTTTCAGTTAACTACTAATTTAACAATAAGCCCAGTTGGAGGAAGAATCAATAGTTTCTTCAAGTCAGAAGATATTAACATTTATCAAACCTAACTTTGTTTTTCCATGAAAATTATCTCAAGCACGAGAGCTTTTTATTCCCCCCTCCTAGCTAGTGCTAGGTTGGTGAACATTGTGTACATATTTTCATTAAATAGAGAATATATATACCAACATAAATTGCTAATTTCCAGAGTGGGTGAACAGTGACTTGTATGTTGTTACACTCTTGGTGCAACTTTGGTTGGTGAACATACAATTTTGCTATATTATTCTACAGAGATCAATATATAGAGGGGATTCTTTACTTGCACCCAACTTCATTGAATTCTAACAGGAATAATTGCTGTGAATCCTAGCTAATTTTTCCCGTTTTTCAATAAAATGTCCCTCAAATTTCTTATCACCAACCCTCAAAATTTCCTCAACAACCTTGTTGAAAGTGTAGTTTTGCAATAATCTGATTAATTACTTGGTCAAGTGCTGTTTCTTTCTTTGGGCGAAGGAAAGCTTGATTTAGGCCTTAATTGAGGGGCAGCACGCCAACCAATTGAGCTGTAACATAATTTCTTCTGACGCAACAATATCAGAAACACACTCTATCTATCTCTCTTGTAGGGAAGGCGAAGATGGGAGAAAAAGAGTGGTACTTCTTCAGTCTTCGAGATCGAAAATACCCAACAGGAGTACGGACCAATCGTGCCACAAATGCTGGTTACTGGAAGACAACTGGAAAAGACAAGGAGATCTTCAACAGTGTTAGTTCAGAGTTAGTCGGGATGAAGAAGACATTAGTTTTCTACAGAGGGAGAGCTCCTAGAGGAGAGAAAACTAACTGGGTCATGCACGAATACCGTCTCCATTCAAAAACAATCTTCAGAACTGCCAAGGTAATCTACTTAAGTTACTACTAGTCCATTCACCCTATTTACAGAAAATTGCCTGTAAATGAATAGTTGAGTTGCATTATGGTGATAGTGCTTTTAGTGGCAATTTGGATAAGATCAGACCTGAGGCCTGGTATTAAAGTATTTAAACCCAACTGGTCTTTTGCTGTTCTTTTCTCCTTGTAATAACCCTAGCTAGCTATTAGTAGTGTCCTGTATTAACTAGGGTTGTTACATTTGAGTGAAGGGAAGATAGTTTTACTGCTTAATTGTCTAGACCCATTCATTCTTCACTCAATTTTACGTCTATATATAAACTTCTGTTGCATGGACAAACTTGAGGATCAGCCACTGAGCTAGACTTATCTAATTCTTAGTTACTGTGTCAATCCTTCACCTAACAGACAACAAGCAGTAAGGTTCTCCCACGTACATTTGGGGGGTTGATGTAACTGAGTCTGTACAATGGTAGGGTCGGGTCTAATATCATTCTATGTTCCAACCCAACAGAAACATTTCTGGTTGATGTATGTGGAGAACCTGATTATCTGGGTTCTCTAAACCTGAACCTGTAAAGCAATTTAGATTGCAGGGTTTCTGGTTGAGAAATTTGTACCTGATCGGTCGACGCGACTCACTGTAATGCCCACACATGGGATCCACATCTATTCTCAAGCACTACCATGTTTGCAATTAGACAGACAAAAGTATTTGGACCACCCTGGCAATATTGTTGACCTTGCCTATAGGTTGCCTTCAGCTTTATATGTACCCTAGCAGCCTGAGAAGAATACCGGTTCTGAGTAAGATTAATGCAGATTTTTGTGGCATAAAGACTCAAAGGTCAGTTAATTAATCGACTGAATTGTCTAGATTGGTGTTTCTCCCTTGTTTCAACCCTAGCTAGACCTAGATGCTTACAGTTTGGATTTTGGACTGTTGTTCCACATTATGGGTGTAGGCACATGGACCCAATATATGCAATAGGAAAATTAATTGGTCTCGTTCTATGTGAATACAGCCGAAGCAGATAGACAGATGTTGACAGGATTAAACCTAAGAATGTTGTTCTTGTGTGTGGCAGGATGAATGGGTGGTTTGCCGAGTTTTTCAAAAGAGTGCCGGAGGGAAGAAATACCCCCCCAACCAACCAAGAGCCAACCCATACAACCTCGAAATTGGGCAAGGTGGCATGGCGCCGGTAGTGCCGGCAGACACTTATCACTTTCCGGTGGGAAGAAACTATGTGGGCAATGCTGATATAGAAGAGATCTCAAGGGTCCTACGAGGGGCACCAAACGGCAACATACAGGTCCAATCTCAGCTAAACTACCCAGGAGCCTTCACAATCTCGGGATTAAATTTGAACCTTGGAGCTTCAACCCAGCCAGTGTGGCGGGCCATGCCGCCGGTCTTGAACCAGCAGTCTGTAGCCATGGATGCATCTTCATCCATGTTGACTAACTGCATGCTTCCATCTGACGCTGGATATAACATAGACATGAATGCAGCTGCTAATAATAGGTTCCAACATATGGACCCATGCGTGGAACTTGAGAACTGCTGGCCTCCCTACTAAGGACAAGGGCCTTAGACTAGATAAATGAGACAACTCCCTTGCTATAGTACAGCTTGATGATGCAAACATAGAAGCTTTTATCTCTCTCTCTCTCTCTCACTTTTTTCCCTCTCCTCTAAGTATAGTTTGATGAGAAAGCTTTTGTATGTTGTTTTCATTTTCCCATTTTAAGAGGGTAACGAAATGCATGCTTCTAGTAATATTTTTGGTATTTCAATTATATGGGTTATGCATACATACATACATGCATACAATATATATATGATGGGTTCAACTATGATATGAAAAAGATATGATATCTAAACAAATTTTGTCCAATCAACTGATATCATAAGTGTGGTAGCCAATCAAGTATTATTTATTAAAATTCATGGGTGGGTTTTGATTGGTCAAAACTCTTTGGATACCATATTTTTCCCCTATCATAGATTTTCCCATATATGATATTGATAGTTAAGTAATTATAAACACCTTAAAAACAATATTACTTTAGCAAATCCATACACACACAATACATTATAGTTAAGTAATTATATAATTTAGTTCAGAAAATTTTCAGTTTTGGGTAATTGACAACTCACAAAGTCTAATTTTGCAAAACCTGAATGAAGGGAACAAATTATCTTATTAATGGGGTAACAAGTAATTAGAATTTTAGAAAGACCATCTTGGATTGGTCTGTCAGTAACGTAGAAAAACTATCTTATCGGTTGAGACTTTAGAGGCTCTAGCCTGAAGTATTTGAGCTTGAAAGTTTTTCTTTGGAGTGCTACAAAGGATTAGGGTTGGACGACATGGTGCAACTAGCTAGCAACTTCTAGCTAGGTTGAAGTTTTTGGTATTCCAAAGAGTTTTGTCTTAAATTTTTACTATACCGACAACGCTCATATACACATAATTAATTAATTATTGTTTTATTATTGCTACGGCTAGTTTATGCGACTCTTGGAAATTTCTCTAGACTTCGTAGAAACCGTGAAATAAAATGACATACTAGCTACAAGACAAAGCTGGACATCCCTTTTCATGGGTTCCACCTTGTCTCTATTTGGCAGAAAAAATCCAAGAATTGCACAACTCCTTGTTTTGTATACATGTTCCTCTTTTGTATTTCCATTTTTTTTTTCCTTTTGGTCTTCGAAGGTGGGATAATCACAAGCGTAGACACGCAAAAGGAGGGAACATGGTTTACATTTGAAGTACGTGCTATGTCCAAATGGAAAATTTTTCTAATTAAAGAGGTTATTCTATCCATCTTTTGTTTCATTGTGGTTCGATCAGTCTCTGATGCGGCATCAAGCTAAGTACTCTGATTTGATTTGTTTGATGTTCAATTAAAGGATCTTTAGCAAGCTAAAATTTCTGCTAGTTTGTTCCTTCAATTGGACATTAGGGTGCCGTTATTTTTCTGTATTTCTATTCTTTTCTTTATCTCAATTGCTCCATGTCATTAGAGTAGAAAGATAGATCTCTTTTAATTTTAGCCCTTTTTCGCCATTACTAATGAGTTCAAACTTCCACGTAGTTGTTGGATATGGTCTCGATCCGTGCAATTCCAAGTTCCCACTGTATCAAGGACTGGGCTCAACTCCATTATTCCAAGTTCCAACATTACCCCTAAGGCATTCTATAATTACAAACAACGAAAGAAGGAAAAGAAATAAAATGCATCCAATAATATCTCAAATTTCTACACTCCCTCTCAAATTGATATGGTGACACCATCAGTTGGTTCACAAGAAAAGTTGTGTTGATAATGAGTAGTAGCTTTAGCTAAAATGTCAAGCTGGCGATTAAAGGAAACATGAAGAAGAGAGATGGTCTCAGCAAGAAGATCATCATAAATGAAGTGACAATCCATTTCAATGTGCTTTGTGTACTAATAAAAAATAGGATCAAATGTAATAAGAAGAGCAGTTAAGTTGTTTGCATTGTGGCATGTAAAGGCTAGGGTTGCTTACAAGAAATTGAAAAACCGAATTAAATTAAGCAAATCAAAGCAAAAAAATTGGTTAACCAAACCGACCGGTATATATATAGTATTTTCTATTTATATATAATAATACAACATCATTAATATATAGTAATTATAACTTATAATATAAAAATGATTTAATTTACCTACTCCTTTGCAACTACACATCTACCAAGAAAAGGTAGCAATTAGGCAACTAGTAGCCAGCTACCCTATTCTTTTTCATTTGACTTTTTAGGTGTAAGGCCAAGGACGTGAGGTGGTCTAAGGAATTGGTTGAACCAAAAAGGGAGAAAAAGGGAGATAAAACAAGTGGTTGGACCCCAAAGAAGGGGTTGTCTACATACCCTTTGGTGAAGGATCAATCAAATCATTGTAGTTCACTGGGACTAGAATTCCGGTGAGATAGAAGGGTGAAAATGATGGCTGAAATGGAGAAAAGGCTAAATGAGAGAAAAGGAAAGGGCTGACATCAAAGTGATGGGCAATGTTTTAAAAAACGACCCAAAGGCTGAACCATTTTTACCTCCGAGTCATGGGTCACCAGTTCAACCATCTGGGTCAAACCTCCCCACTTATATATTATATATATATATATATATATATATATATATATATATATATATATATATTACCAATAAATAATGCAGAAATCTTTTTTAGATGTGTTATATGTACTTTTGTATTTAATTTTTTTATTTATAAAAATATACAAAATTGCAATTTGAGGCCAAAAAACATTTTTTTTCACGAAAATAATGGGGCAGGGCGCTATGGCTCCTTGGGATGCATAGATCTCGAAAAGTTACCCAAAATAAAAAAATCACCCCAAGCGGACATTGGTGTGCAAAGTTATGGCATTTGAAAGTTTGCATGCATTGACTGTGCAACCCGCGACCCAGTCACTGGGTTGAATGGGTCAACGGCCGAACTGGCCAGGTCAAATGTTTCTTGACTGAGTCAATGGTTTATTACCATCTAGCGGGTTTTGACTAAACTAGACCTAGAATCCTGGTTGGGTGACTGTTCGAATGGTTCAACCGACTGGGTCAAAAATAGGTTGAAAACAATGGTGATGGGGCAAGAAGGTTTCAAGGTCCTTATTTATAGTTTTTGGGTACACATTCTAGAAGCTTCTTAAGTTTATGTTTTTCCTATTTTACCTATATACTCTAGAATGTTTTTTTTACATATTAAAACATGTGGCTAAATATCCTTCTAGAATTATCTTATTAATCATTATTTCTACTTTTACCTTTTTGCCACATGTTTATTTCTTTTAAACCCAAAAGTTTACTCCCAGTGGAGGGGTGGCCATTGCAAATTTATTAATGTGTAATAAAAAACCTCAGAGGGGGGGGGGGGGGGACGTAAGGCCTTACCCCTCAAAACCATACAAAGGAAACCTGGCTCATGTAAACATCAGGTGTCCAAGAAACCTAAGATCAATGAATTCGCAAAAAAGAAAGACCTAGACCATCTGCAGTCACCAAGTTCTAGACATGGGAAGGAAGAAGTTTCTATGCAGTCATAAATAACTTTTTGAGAAGTTAAGCAACCAAGCTTTGTGAGAGCATTTGCTGGTTGATTAGCCTCTCTATAAATATGTACACAAAAGAATTCCAGTATACTTCTAAGCTCTTGTACTTGAGACAACCAAAACCAAAGCTTCCAAGGGGCTATACAAACTCCATTAAGAATATCAATCAAGATTTTGGAATTTGATTCAACCATGATCTTATGTAAACCTAAAGCAACGACAAGGTTTAATCCATATAGCAAGGCCATAGACTTTGCAACTAAATTCGTATCAGTGCCATAAGTGTTGGAGAAGGCACAAACATACCCATTCCTTCCATTTCTAATGATACCCCTCCACCACAGGGGCCTAGGTTTTCTCTAGAAGCACCATCAACATTGAGTTTCAAAAAACCCTCCAGAACCGCCATCAAGTGAACCACTTTAATGGTATTTCCTCTGATCAGATGGATCTGTAACCCCAAACCTTACAAGAATAGTTCTTGATTGTAGTTCACCTTATGGGTCAGAGATAATGAAGAAGACACCTCATAAAGCCACCGCACGACCACCCAAATCACCAGCTTTGAACATTTGAATTTATTTTCCATCTTGTGCCTATTTCTTTCTTTCCAAATTTCCCAAACAACAAAGCAAGCAATCATCCCCACCACAACAACCCATTGATTTCTAGACGATGCTGCTAAAAACCAACAAGAGAGAAGCACCTTAATACTCTCATTTCCCCTGAAAGGCAACCCTAACATTCTGTTGAAGAAGAGCCACACTTTTCGAGCTAAACAGTCACGCACCAACACATGATTGATGTCTTCTTCTAAAGGGTCACGACAACACACATTTGGAAGCCAGAGGAATTCCCAGCTCTTTAAAATCAGCACCCACATCAACCTTACCAACCATAAGTTTCTAGATAAAGAAACTTATCTTGGTTGGCATTAGAGCATTCCACACCACCTTGGACCATGTCACAGAAGGATGAGCAGTCCTATAAAAAGACCAAGCTGATTTTACAGTAAATTCTACCTTTGCCTCCACTAAACAAACAATTTTTGTCACAGCAGTTGGAATGGCTTACACCAGATCCCTGGATGCTATTTAAGACATTATCCTCTTGAAAACTGCAAACCTGATATAGGTGCCAAGTCCCTTCTTCATCTAGGACATCACAAACCCTTAGCTACAAATTCAGCCCTTCGTGCTGAAGAACTTTATCAATCAAGGGGCCATTCATAGTCCACTTATCAAACCAAAAATTGATTTCTCCCCTACCCACCATCCATTTCGATAGATGAACTAAATCACCTCTTAGTTCCATTTTTACCTACCAAGTACGAGAAGTGTAGCAAGGAGGTATAGATGTATAAAAATGATCATGTTTCAGCACCTTGGCTATAAAGAAATCAGCCCATAAAGAGTTGTGGAAAAGCACCCACCACAGAGCCTTCAACCGAAGAGCCTTATGAACATCATATAGATTCTTAATTTGGTGGCCCCTTTTATAGAAAGGTCTTACAAATTTTTCCCAGGCAACCCAATGATGCTAATAGGTTGAGTCGGATTTGGTCCATAAGAAGCTTTTCATCAACTGTTCTAGACGCCTAATAACACTTTTTGGCGTTACCACTACTGACATCAAATAGAGGAATATTGTTTAAGACATGTCTAAGTAAAACAATCTTGCCTCTTGCTTAAATCAGTTTCCCTTT